ACCTGGGGTACCCCCACCCTGCCCCCAAACACAGCCCTGGACTAAGAAAGGCACCCCCAGGGCTGAGCCCCCAAATTTGGGGGACCCTCCTGTGCCCCTGACCCAGGACAGGCACTCCCAGGGTTGAACCCCCAAATTTGGGTCCCCATGGTTTTTTTTCTGGGCCCCCTCCCCATGTTTTTGGGGTTCACTCATCAGCAGGGCAGAACTTCAGGGTCTCAGTGAAGTTGTTTTCTTTCTGTGTCCCCACCCAGGTGTTGTGTTCCCCCCCTCAGCTTTTGGGGCTCTCCCCGGGCTTTTTGGGGTTCTTCCATGGGTTTCTTGGGATGTTTTGGGGCTCGCTCTGTCAGCAGTGCAGGAGTTCACAGCCTTGGCCAAGCTGGTTTTTTTTTGGGTCCCCCCAGGATTTGGAATTCCCCTTGCAGATCTGTAGTTCTCCCCAGGATTTTCAGGGGTTCCCCCTCAGATTTTGAGGTCCTCCCATGGATTTTTGGGGAGCCTGGGGCTCACCCAGTTGGCGGTGCAGAAGTTCACAGTCTCAGACGAAAGTTGGGTTTTTTGGGTCACCCCCAAGTTTTGTGTTATCCCCAGGTTTTCTGTGTCCCCCCTGTGCAGATCTGGGGTTGCCCCTGGGTTCTGGGGTTCCCCCTGGGCGTTTTTGGGGTTCCCTCTGAGTGTCTGGTGTGTGTGGGGCTCACCCAGTTGGCGGTACAGAACTTCAAGACCTCAGCCAGGTTGGGTTTTCTGGGTCACCCTTAGGTTTTCTGTGTCCCCCCTGTGCAGATCTGGGGTTGCCCCTGGGTTCTGGGGTTCCCTCTGGGTGTTTTGGGGCTCCCCCTGAGTGTTTGGGGTGTGTGGGGCTCACCCAGTCAGCGGTGCAGAAGTTCACAGCCTCAGCCAAATTGGGTTTTTCGGGTCACCCCCAGATTTTGTGTTCCCCCCCTGCAGATTTGGGGTTCCCCCTGGGTTCCCCCTGGGTTCCCTGGGGTTCCCCCCACGTTCCTGGGGTGCGTGGGGCTCACCCAGTCAGCAGTGCAGAACTTGAGGGTCTCAGCCAAATTGATTTTTTTGGGTCACCCCTAGGTTTTGTGTTGCCCCCCTGGGTTTTTGGGGTTCTCCCTGTGTTTTTGGGGCTCCCCCCGCGTTTCTGGGGCTCACCCAGTCAGCAGTGCAGAACTTGAAGGTCTCAGCCAAATTGGGTTTTTTTGGGTCACCCCTAGGTTTTGTGTTGCCCCCCTGGCTTTTTAGGGTTCCCCCTGGGTTCCCTGGGGTTCCCCCTGTGTTTTTGGGGCTCCCCCCACGTTTCTGGGGCTCACCCAGTCGGCGGTGCAGAAGTTGACGGCCTCGGCGAAGTTGTATCCCTGGTTGAAGCCGCTGTGGTAGGCCCTGGGGAAGGTGATCACGAACTCCCCGGCGCACTGGTTGGTCCGGACCACCTGGGGGGGGGCACGGGGTGGTCAGGGGGGGGTCTGGGGGGTGGGTCTGGGGGCAGAAGGGGGACCCCAACTCACGGGGACGCCGTGGGCCATGAGGGTGTTGGGGTTCATGAGGGTGACGAGCTGGTGCAGCAGGTCGGGCTGGCTCTCGAACAGCTCCGGCGTCAACTTCTTCATCACCTCCTCCAGGTGCTCGGCCGCGAACGACGGGACCCCGTACCACGTCTTGGGCTCCCCCCTGGGGCACAGCGGGGGTCAGGGCACCCCAAAAACCTCCTCATCCCACCCCAGAAACCTCCTCATCCCATCCCAGAAACCTCCTCATCCCATCCCCAAAAACCTCCTCATCCCAC